CACAACTTGTCCCAGTGTTCAACCACTCTCATGGTGAATAATGTTTTTGTTATGTCTGATCAGATAAGCAAATAATGACACTAAGGGATCTCTGTTGGAGCATAAAGATTTCTGTTCAGCAAGCCAGGTAATCCACAGGTTGATGGGTCTGATCCCATTCCTGTTTAGCCCAGGCACAAACTCCTGCTGATTCTTGTGGGTATTCAGTGCACATCTTTGAAGGCTGTGTCGGAAATAGACAGGCTCCTTACCACAAAGACAGTGAGGCACGTGCACACAGAGCCCTAGTCCCACGCTGAGAACCTTCGGTATGCAAATTTACAGGGTTTCTATGGAATACTGCCTATTTAGCAGGGATCATTCAACAGATGAAGTCCGTGAGACTTGATGACATGCATCTGAGGATGCTGAGGTACGTAGCCAATGGCATTACAAAGTCATTCTTTGAAAGGTTTTGGTAATTGGGGAGATTCCCATCTTCAAGAAGCGCCAGAAGGATTCAGGGAATTTTAGCTCAGTCAACCTAATCTCAGTACCTGGGGATTACACAGCAAATCTTCCTGAAAGTCATGTCTACGAACATGAAGGTGATGGAGAACAGCATGGATTTCTCAAGGCAAATCAAGCCTGACCTACCTGGCTGCTTTTTATGATGAGACAAATGGCTATGTGGACAAGGCAGTGGGTGTTGCTTTCTTTGACCTGCATGAGGCCTTTGAAATAATCTCACAAAGCGTCCTTGTAGCCAAACTGAAGAGATACAGACTGAACAAGTGGACTACTAGGTGGGTGAAAAAGTGTCTGGGCTGCTGGGCTCAAAGGCTTGTGGTCAGCGGTACAAAGAGGCCAGTACTATTTACGTTCTATGAACAACCTAGGTGATGAGACGGAGTATACACCCATCAAGTTCATGGATGATTACAAACTGGGAATAGTGATCAACGACTGTCACTCACAGGAGTCTCAGCAGGCTGAAGAAATGGGCTCATGGAAGCCTCATTGAAGGTCAGTAAAGGCAAATGCAAAGTCTTGCACCTGGGAAGAAGGAATAACCTTGTACACATGGTAGGGACTGATGGCTGAAAAGCAGCTTTGCAGAACAGGATTTGGAGGTAATGGTGGTCAACAAGTTGAAGATGAGCCGGAAATGTGCCCTTGTGGCACAGAAGGTAAACAGCCTGCTAGCTGTGTCAACAGAAGTTCAGGCAGCAGGCCAAGGAAAGTGATAATTTCTTTCTATTTCAGCACTTTTGAGGTCATATCTAGACTGGCATCTCCAGTTTGGGGCTCTCAGCACAAGGAATATAGTGACAAACTGGAGCAAGTCCAGAGGATGGCCATCAACATGACCAGAGTGTACAAGGAGGACTAAGGAACCTGTGTTTGATTAGACTGGAGAAGGCTAAGAGGGCATCTAATTTCTGTGTACAATTACTTACTGAATGTTTTGTAAAGGAGATGGATTCTTCTCAGAGGTTCACAGCAAAAGGATGAGGAACAATGAACACAAGTTGCATCTAGGGAAATTAGATATTAGGGGGAAAAAAAGCACAGGGGAGATGAAAAAACTTTGTAACAGGTAGCACAAAGAGGTTGTGAATGTCCATCCTTGTAGAAACTAAAAAATATTTGGCTGGACAAGGCTCTGAGGAACCTGATCTGATGGCAAAATTGGATCTAATTTTGGAACCACTTTTTAATTGAGTGAGGGGTTGGACTCAGTGATGTCCAGAGGTCCTTTCCAAACTAACCTCTTCAATGATTTTATATATTGTCTTGTATGAAGCATGAAGCCAGAGATGCCTGTCTCAGGCATTCACAAGACTTGACACCTTTGTAAGACTTTTCGGTTGTCTACTTTCTGTTTATGCACAATTAAGTGGAGCAAAGTTACATTAGGAAGAGAAAGAGCAGGATCTAAAGCATTCTCATGTCCCTCCAATTTCATACGTGCTTCATCGCCTGCCCTGGTACGTTACTGGGAAAAAGCAAGAAGTGACAATTTTCTCCTGTAGAGCTGAAATTGAAGCTGTTGCCCCTTGCATGAACCCAGACAGAGCTGGGAAAGGACTGATGTCATCACCCCCACAGAGGAAGGAGAAGCACTCCCTTAATGGGGAGCTCCCATCCCCGGGCACTGTGAGCCAGCTCCTGCTAGCTCCCAGGCTAATGGCTTTCAGAATAAGAGCAATCACCTCGTCCTGGTTCGTGGTACCTGGCAGGCATCCCACTCAGCAGCAGCAGGCTGGCTGGAACTGGAAGGGGTCTGAGTCATTTTAATTCTGTGAGGTTAGGATGGATTTGGCAATACGGTAATTTGTGTAACAAAAAAAAAAAAAAAGGTGGGCGTTAATGTTTTAAACTGCTTTCTGTTTGTGTAGGCCCTGGGGCAGCAAAAGGGAGGCCCAAAGGAGATTAAGTAGAGCAGTTTCTACTTTCTTCCCACATCTCCTCTGTGTGTGTGTGTGTAGGCACATTGCCCTCAGAGCCCCACTAACCAATGGACAATGAGTTTAAATTAGTGTAGCTCAGGCCTGATCTAACTTGCACTCTTTGTGCCTAAGATGCATTTTTAAATCAATATACTTAAATCAATGCCAGCTCAGAAGCTGGGATAATTCAGGCTTCAGGAGGTCTGTTCCTGCCTGACTTGAGTAAAATGAATCAGGCCTGCTTAAACAAGGCTTTGTAGAGTTCTCATTAATCATTTAAAACACAATTTGCATTGAACTCTCCCACTTTTTTAAGTAGGTGAGTCATGAAACACCAGCATGTTAGGAAAGAGAGAGCCTGAGGGAAAACCAAAGAACAGGAGGGTGTAAGTGAGAAAACGGCACTTCCTACCTTTCTCATATCATCTGGGGTACAGAGGGGTATATTAGGATGGGTAAATCAGACTACTCATCCCAGCTTCAACTCCATTAATCTCTGACGTGACTCCAGGGCAGAGTTAACTGATTAGATCCAAGTTACTTCAGCTTCCCAGAGGTCCTCAAAACTCATTCCTGACTACAACCCTGACTTGGAATCCCCTTTTCTTTCTGACAGCTACACAGAAAGGCCTGAAACAGTGGCTTGCTTCCCTTGACTCATCGCTTGTCTGTGCAAAAGATCAGCAGGATTTCTTTCCTTATCTACTACTGTGAAAGCAGTGCCAGCTAGATGCTTTATAATATAAGGAAGTTTTACGAGTAAGAGGTAAAATCCTACTGTTTTAACAGGCGGGACTCCAGAGAATTTTCAGGGGACTTGATATCTCCCATGTGCACCATGACACACATCTAACTGGGGAGAAGCAGACAAGGTCCATTTTATGGCAATACTGTTTTACAGCATCCTCCTGGATGCTGCTTTGCCTTTCCCGGGGAGTAATTTCCAGGAACTGTCTGAGACATTCAGCTATGACCTATGGCCAAAGAGAAACTATAAAAAACACAGTCTCCTGCTTCCCACTCAGAATCTTCAGTTTTGCTTTAATATCCTGTTTCTCTTCTTTCTGTCAATTGAAGAAACTATTCCAATTCACCAAGAAACCTTTCCAGTTCATTCCAGTTCCCTCAAGAACACCTACATCCAGTCCCACAGATCTGCCACATCACTTGGCCTCTCTTCCTTTCAACTTCTGAGTCCCTCTCCACTTGCAGAGAGAGCAACTAATCCAAAATAAATCTTTACATCATCAGCTTCTTACTGTTGGCTTCATCTGTCTATCTCCAGAAAAGTTCGAGTTCTTGGTTCCTCCATTCAAGCCTTCAATTCAAAAATGTATCTACCTATCTCCTGTGTTCTCTTTTTCTGTGCTCCTCTCTCCACTGAAAGCTTTTGTGGGTGGCAAGAATACCTAATAAGTCTCCTTGTGCAGGAGTATATCTCTCACCTTCTCTGAAATGCCTTAAGCTCCTCTGCTTCTAAACCCTCTTCATGACAGTGTCTTTAAGCAGGACCATGCATCCCGTTACACCAACCACATTTCCATAAGCCAAGGTCTAACCCCTTATTGTGCCATGGCAGATATGAAGAAGTTGTTACACACACTGCCAAATATTGCTAGATGGGTAGCAGATGCAGAAATAGTGCTGGAAAGTCTGTTCACAAAAGAACCAGCATTGTGTGAAAAATGACGCTGGCATTTCTTTCAGTCTCTTTCAAGTACAAGTGAGGATAAGCCCAACTGACTGCAAATAATTAAATCAACAAACGTTGGACATTTCTGCATGTTGCAAGCAGGACTAGACAAAAGAAGAAAAGATGAAGGGACTCACAGGAGAAGAACTGGTTATTTGTAATCACTTGGGAAGATCCTGTCCCTGTCAGATGGGCAAACAGCCCTTCCAATGGTTTAAGGCACAGTCAGCACCATACCAGGATGCCAGGAGTATGCAGCTTGCATCCCTCTGCGCATTTGAGCGATCCTGCTGAGCCCCACAGGGCCTGGGAGGCCTGTATAATGCTGGTTATAACCCCAGCTTTGCTGCTGTCATTTCTCTTTGGCGCTGGAAGAGTTATGCTAACCGCTCTAGGGGAGAGCATACCTGTTCTCAGATTACCACGGAGTTAGCATCCATGGGGAGGAAAGAAGCTGATTTACCTTTTTGTTCGTGCATGTCATAAGGAGCATAACAATCACTAGGATCAGCTAATGACCACCTGGCTCATGGAAACTGAAAGCCTTGCATAACGTTAAAACATCATCATTGTTTTAGCTAAATTATATAGAAAATTAATGGAACTCTCTAAATTACCATAATAACCTAAAGCATATGATCCATTTTCTCCCTTGAACAATGTTTCTGTAGTGAACGGCTAAATTCCTAAGAACAATGGAGACTCACTTTTCAACTTAGACCGCTGTGCTTTTGTTTATGTTTTTAAATGCTTATGTGTAAACTCTGAAATCAATCACACATCTAAGTACTGTATAATAAACAGTCTTGTGATCTTAATCACCTTTCCTCATGACAAGGTGAAGGTTAAATTTGCATCTTCCTATCAGTACTTACCCTGAATATCATCATTGAATGTACAGTATCTGTTCCGGTATTTATTGAGGAGACGAAAAGCGTTAGCATTGGCAAAATCTTCAAACTGGATCAGGCAATTCATGCCGTACCTGCAAGTTAAAGGGTAATTAAAAATGGGTAAAAATATTTCCACAACGTAAGATGATATATACGTCTTATATCAGGACAATGTAGCTAAAGACTCTAGTGCAGAGATAAAAATATCCTAAGAGAAATGCATCACAGTCACAGCAAACAGGATCACACCCTTCACAAGGTCCATAGACTCAGAAATATGGACTCACCAAGGATAATTGTATTCTTAATTCAAGGGGCTTCTTAATATGTATACCTATATATATATATATATGCATCTTTGTACTATTGGTACAACAAATTTTCAGTGGTGTATTTACTGAGGAGCTTATCAAAGTGAAGGAGATGTTCTTTTGCAATGGATATTGCAACTGCCAGGTTACAATACAGCAAATCTGACTGCAAAGGGAACGTCAGTTAAAGGGACACCACCAAGTGCTCGCTTCAACTGTAGGTGACCAAGAGAGGAGAAAAAACCTGCTTGTAGGATGCCATGGACTGAGTGCTTCACAATGTGATTTCATAGCCACGTTTTTGTGCTTTGGAAGTGTTTCTCTCCACTGAGTTGCTTTGCAGAAAACCAGCACGCAATGACAGCTAGTGACCCGTAGAGTCAAAAGGCAGGAAATAATTGCAAGCTTACCATAACTATCTAGTAATATCAGGGCAAGTGTGCAGTTTCTAAAAATCGGGTACTATTCAGACTGCTCCATATCTATTAACTTTCAGCACTTTGTATGACTCTACGCTGCATTAAAACTTTGCAAATAAAATCTAAAAGGGCCGTAAGTACTCTTTTCTCACACCGAGATGTGACAGGGCAGTGGGAGAAGCTCAGGGAATGAGTAATGCAACTATTAGCAACCTCTGGGCTGCAGGCAGGTGAAAGGGCTCTAAATATCTGCACTGTGTTAGAGACCTGAGCCTCTCTGGGACCATAAGCAGTGCAGAGGCAGCATCACCTTACCTACCTCTCGTTCAGACTTTCCCCCTTTGCCACAGAAATCCGAGGTAGGGGACATCCCTGCTTTAAATTAGGAATTGATACTGGACAAAACATGCTCCATTTGAGAACCGTGGCTCCTGTCATGAAAAGCTCTTTTCATCGCACTCGCAGTGCGGGCAGTCAGGCTCTCCTGGGAGGGCCTTGAATTTTTTATTATTATCATTTTCCACTTCAAGTATGTCTGTCAGCAAGGAGACAATGATAAGCACATGCATTGTGCTCCTTTTTTTGTCCATCATGAGAAACTCTTGCTTCATAAACCCTCTGGTCTCAAAAAAGGAAAAGGGCTGGCTCTTACACTTGCTTCACATTCTCTATGCTTGCTTTCAGAAAAGGACCACAATGGGGACAGACTTTTTAGCAGGGCCTGTTGCGACAGGACAAGGGGTAATGGTTTTAAACTAAAAGAGGGCAGGTTTAAACTAGATCTAAGGAAGACGATTTTCCCAATGAGGGTGGTGAAACACTGGCCCAGGTTTCCCAGAGGGGTGGTAGATGCCCCATCCCTGGAAACGTTCCAGGTCAGGTTGGACGGGGCTCTGAGCAACCTGATCTAGTTGATGTCCCCGCTCATTGCAGCGGGGTTGGACTAGATGGCCTTTGAAGGTCCCTTCCAACCCAAACTGTTCCATGATTCTGTAATTCTATGAATGATTTTAGAGCTGTGTATGACTCTCCTAGATACAAAAAGCTCAGATTCAACTCGATGCCTCGCTCCAGTTATGTCTCCCAATGTCCTACTAAGCTTAATATTTGCAAAATAATACTAATATTTGCAAAAATTTCAATGAAAAATTAGGTGCTTGATGTCTTTGTTGAATCAGGGACACAGAAGCTGTGGAACCTCTTCTATGGGGTCTGCAATTCAGTGTCATCCCAAGGGAATTGTCACCGCTCCTGTCACCAAAGAGCAGGAAAACGGCACATCTTAGAGAGATGCGTCCACCTTAGAGAGCCATGTGTGCAGAGATCCCTGACTGCATAGAGCACAGCTCCATGCCAGAACATGGTGCTGTTTCCTTTCTCCCAGGCACATTTCAGCTCTCTTCAGCTTCTCCTCTGGTGATGTTGGGAATGGATGCAGCACACCTGCAAGGGAGGACATGCCATGGCGGGTGGTTTTCTTCCTGGCTAATGTGGAATTCAATGACTGAGGGCATCTCCAATTTACCTCATGTGCAGTCTGGGTAGCTTTCTAATAGCTGGGTACGATCAGAGGTGGACTACCATGCCCAGACCCCACCATATGTGCCCCCGCCATCTCTCCTGAAAGAAAATGCAGTGCAGAGGGATTAAAAATTGGTTTCAACATTAGTCTATATTTATTGTGTGTCATCTAATAGCTGCTACTTCATGAAGTATACTTACTCCGCACTCTGCAATGTCAGAGTCCGGTGAGTCCTCTCTAGGTAGTCAGATGCAAGCATGACTGGTCATACTGGCCAGAAAGGCAGCACCTTCTTGTCTCGTTTACTGTGCTGAAAGGAGCAACAAAAGAGCCCTGTGCAACAGCCCTGTTGTAGCTGCACCACAACCCTCACTGTGGATAGGGAGGTTTAGGCATGGGTTTTCCAGGGGATCAACAGGAAAAAAACAGGATCTAGATGCTCAGGTGGGGAAATGCCAACTTGCCATACTTCAAAGGCAAAAAAGCCCTAGGAAAAGGACTGGACAACTGGTCCCATTGGTTTTCTGACTTCGAACGGGACAAATTCTTTCCTGCACCCTATATGACGGGACACGTTACACGGCTCAACAGCAACTGGAGTCTATTGAAATTTTGCATTTCTTTTTATAAGATGCTCTTAAATTGTCCCGAGCATGCTGCTAACTGCAGGTTACACCGAGTATTTGAGGGACAGACAGCTTATGCACTTTAAGCCTCCCCACTGCCGATTCTGGCAGCTATCAAGAAGACATCCAGTATCAAAATTTCTTCTGAAATGCAGAGCAACACTCTGAAAAGCAATAGATGAAGATTCCCAAACCTCTTTCTCTCTGTAAAGTTTTGGAAGTCAAAATGAACACTGGATATCCAAGGAATTTGTGCAAATAAACAATACATAAAGTGCCTGTGAAAATCAGTTTTCTAATGGATGATTCTCTTATCCATTGTTTGAATGTGTAATGAAAATATGGCTATGAGGGAGATGACACACCATCCAAAACATCTGCTAATATCTCACAGCAAAGAATTAGCAAATCTTTAAGTAACTTCAGTTGCTATAGAAACTATTTCTCTAACACCAGTCTTATTATTTATTTGTATCACTGAGGAAGTAACATTACTGACTTGCTTAATAAAATGATCTCAGCCAGCATTAATGTATGTGTGACCAGCTCTCCAAAGAGCGTAAGGGTAGGTGGGTGGGTTTCCCTGACTACAGAGTCAAATTTGCAAGATTATTAACCTGAACTTTTTTTTTTAACTCTGTTGAGCACAGAATTCTTTCCTCACTTCACGTTCCTGGTCTGCAGCATGAGACACTGCACAGTTACTTCTATCTGGTTTTGTCTCTGATAATTTTTTATTAAACAGAGTACAAGGAAAGTATGGTGGCCCACGAACTCTTCATTTCTCTTCATGCCCCTCAGTATGAATGGACAGTGCTGGAATGCAAAAACTATTCACTCAGGTATTTTTTGAAGATTATTTTCTTTTTCTCTGCAATATGTCCACTGAGCTTTTTAAAGTATAAACCACAATTTTGGGCCTATGTGAGCCTTTGCATAATGTGAGAACTAAAGTTTTTATTAATAAAGACCACAGATTGGTAATGGCAAGACCCTAAGACTGGATGCTTTAAATGAAAGAACCAAATATTTTAGACTCACAGTTAAAGCTGGGAATCTTGGGATGATGATCCTAGTCCTCAAGGACTACTCATCTTACTAGCATTTTGAAAGGACTTTAAAGAACTTGTGCTGCTCAAAGTCACTGAAATTAAACACAAATTAGGCAGCTGACTTACTGGGCCATCTTTAGAAATCCTAATGCTTACTGCTCTTTCCTAATGGTTCTTTGGTGGCTGTGTGCAATGCCTCATCTTAGGGTGATGTGATCAGCCTAAGGTTAAACTTAGCGAGGACTATGAACAAAACAACTGCTGGGGCCATTTGCAATAATATCCTTGTGAATATCAACATGATGATTCAGTTTTGCTGTCCTTCCTCCACAGCACAGTAACTCAAGATTTGTGTAACCTGTTTCATCCCAAAGAAATTCAGAGCTCTACAAAGTATTTGGGTGGTATCCAAAAGTAAAACGTAGACAACTTGGGACTGGAGCACAGAAGTGCATTAATATGCAACAATGCTAAAAAAAAATCCAGCTTAGGAGAAAAGGTAAAGAATATCTGTTGTTGAAAAGGGTGGTCAAAGAGCTGCTACTTGTACTGGAATGTGGCCAATAAAATGCAGCACAGAATGGGATTTCTTCCACTACCTTTACGTATCTAAAATTTGTCTCTGTAATGCCCAGCTATCTCTGCCTGCCTTCTCAGATAATGGAGAGAAAGAGGCATGTCCAAGAGCAACTTCTTTGAACTAGCCTAAGTGGAAAATGGAAGTAGATAACATCTCTGGAGATGCCTCTTTCTCCACAGTCTCTGTGAAGACAGTCTAAGATGAACAACTTAAATTTAGATGTCTATCTTTAGACACCTAAATTAGGAGAGGGAAACATTATCTAATGTTATCTAATTATCGCAGCTGGTTAGGAAGATCTTAAATATACGTCATGCACCCTAGGTCACTTGGCTTATCACCCTTTCAACTGCAATGCAGTTTTTCCTTTCCTTCAAAGCCTGCAATTTCTTTGTTGATCTCTACAGAAATTGCCCTGCTCCATCCCTTGTGTATGGTATCCAAGTGGTCCCCTATCAGGCTACATGGAAATGCTCCAGGATGGAATGAAATATAGTGGCTAGCCTTGCCCCATCATAACATTTTTTAAATGAAAACTGTATTTTGACAAAACTGATTTTACAAAATTATTGTGTTTCACTG